ACAGTGTATCTGTCGACTTCTATGTTTCATCTGCTCCGTGATGGCGTACTTCATTTGGTTGAAGAAATGTCAGACGATCTGACACACATGAAAGGAAAGTGGAATTCGTTCGCTGGATTTTAAGTCCTTTCAAGACCAAGTGTCTTTTTGAAAAGGATCTCCTTATTGTAGCCGAATGCCACCTCACTGAACAACATACGGGAGGCCCTAAGATTACTATCGAGAGCAATCGTTGAGCAAGTTAAATGACTAACGTGTGATGGGTACTTGCCAAAAAATTAATAGGTGACCACATCGTCCCTCTTACTTAACACCGATGCCAAATATGGCAACTGTCGCCACTGTGTCTAATAAGCTAGGCAATTCGTGATAAACATGTTCCGGGGATCATACAAACGACGACGAACGACCGACATAAATGATTATTGCCAAACTATAGGAAATCATGAAATTTTCACTTCATTCTTGTTCACACTAGACATATACAAATGCCATTCTCTGGAATGTGTACTCATTGAATTGACGGCGGATTCCAAGTTGTTTGTAGTTGTTTGATAAGCGATTCAAACAATACACGTTATTAAGACCTATCTATAAATAAACACGTGCCTATTTACATATATTGATTTATTGATCGTTAAACTGTATCGTGTTTGAGTACACGTGAGAACATCAGTTCTCGGATCAACATATTTGTATCAATGATCACGCCTCACCGTTGTTTAAAAGTCACAATCTTTAGGGCTAATATCCTTATTGAAATTGAGATTTACTTCAAACTACGTGTAAATATTGTGTTATTTACTTAGTTGAAAAATGTATATAACTAGACATTTTTTTATTTCTAAAAGTGTTTGTGGTAGGCCTGTCTTTCATATCTTTCATGTTTTAGTTTTCCGCTTCAATTTGAGATTCGCTTTGTGTATATTTAGTATTGAATCATTTAAAACTTAAATCTAATAATTGTAAATTAGTGAAATGTATTTAATTTTCATTTGTGAGACTCTAAAGATGTGTCTTTTGTTAAACGGGAGCGAATGTTTAGCTAACTTACTGAATCAAGTGAAGGTCTAGATTTCTTTCTCTTTGTTAAAGTTTCGTATTCTGTAATTTTTTTTATTATTTGATATTTTGATACAAAACAGATTTTAGTGAAAACAATATTGATTGTATACAGATATCACTTCTGGTAACGTTTGGTGCTCTCATTGTAACGGAAAAACTTAATCAATGTACACTTAATTAATGACGGACGGCTAATGGTTCTCGTTATGCTCGGATCAAGACCTTTGCAGTGCTATCTAGGCTGTGTCCTTTGGCAGTACATTTCATCCCGATTGCTCTTTATGGCGGACCTTCCGCATGTTGATCAGTGATTAAGTTACCAGTTACCACAAAGAAGCTATCAAAATTACAAAGGCTATCTGCATGGAAATAAACAATACAGCATGCTCTGAATTGGAGGCGGTGGGCCTCCCGCTAGTTGATCAGTTATGTAGTCAACAGGTAAATAAATCACATCACAAGTGACCCACACTGTCTACATGGAAATAAACACAGTAAAACAAACATGACAGGAACTTTTCCAGGATTGCTCTGAATTGCAGGCGGTGGGCCTCCCGCTAGTTGATCAGTTATGTAGTCACCAGGTAAATAAATCACATCACAAGTGACCCACAATGTCTACATGGAAATAAACAGTAAAACAAACATGACAGGAACTTTTCCAGGATTGCTCTGAATTGCAGGCGGTGGGACTCCCGCTAGTTGATCAGTTATGTAGTCACCAGGTAAATAAATCACATCACAAGTGACCCACACTATTTACATGGAAATAAACACAGTAAAACATGGATAGGACATTTTATCACGATTGCTCTGAATGGCAGGCCACAGATCTCTCGCGTTATAATCAGTGATGTAGTTACAATATAGTTCAAAGAAACTAATAAAAAATTATCCAGACTATTTGTGGAGAGAATACCGAAGTTAACAAACGTATTTCATAAATACAGAGAACAGGTACAAGGGTGTTTTGCCGTTCACACATTACAAGGTTTGTGTTAAACATACATCATATCATTTCTTGTCTATCTACTGCACAAGGAAAGTATTAAATTGCGAAAAAGTGACGACAATTCTGAAATAAGAAAATCTCGCTAGCTTTAATTCATTCAGAGTTCCATATATCGCGTATACAAGCTATGTAAATACGCTGACACAAGCAGCATATGTTTACTTAATATACATACACATGATCAATACCACCAATATTCATTTTCTGGTCGAATGCCCGGATCAAATTAAGCGAAGACCTGCAGTGATTTTGTGCACGAACCTGAAATGTTTGGTGATATAGTTCGGTGCATGTATTTACGGTGTCCACTGCTCTTAAAGATGTAAGCGCCGTATTTTTTTTTTTTTTTTTAGATTACGGAGAAGTGAATCTGAAAAAATAGTGTTGAATAATACATCTATACATTATCAAGCTTTAAGTGATAAATAAGCAAAGTACGATATAAACAGCTTATAGTTGAAATTAAGTTGTTAATAACATTCAAAACGCATATACATAAAATGTGTTTCCCATCACGTCAAAGTACAAGGTACAACATACTTAAATCTTCAGTAAAATCGCAATCTAATTAAGATTCTCTTCATCGCGCAGGCGTTAGTTTACTTTTTTTGTAGTGTTATCATACTGAAAGCTTCCAGCAGAACTACCCATCCGGTCACATTATACTGACAACGGACAAAAATTGAGTATTAACGATTTTTTTAAAAAGACTTTGGCATATCTCGTTTAGAGGATAGAAACAAAAGGCTTCCTGAATGTGGCGAACACCCACTTAAAAGTCCAAAATTGTCAGTTACCTAGGAAGTCATTAGGGTGAAAATGGTTGTTAAGAATGACGTCACCTCTTACGAATCAAACGCCCTGCAGGAACATGACTATATGACGTAGGTGAAAAAGCAAGTTCAAGTCCTTTATTACCTTAAGTCAACTGACTCATCGGATACAGATAAATTAATAATATAAAACATTGATAACAATATACAAGCACAGGATTACAGACACAATACAGGCCCGGAGAGCAAACTATTGACTCAAGTGATCTCTTAAAACGTCAGCAGCCTTGATATATTAAGACAATTTTGTAATTTCTTTCATGTTTTTAACATTAAAATGTTCTATGAGTTTAAACATACTAGTTTTTTCCTAATAGTACTTTTTCAAAATTTTCTTTCTCATGCCCATGTAACAAGGAAATTTCAATACAAAATGAAACTCACCTACTGTATCAACGAAATCACAAATGGTACATACTCGTAATTACTCGGTATATTTTGATATCGGCCATTTTCTACTTGTAAAGTATGAGATGAAAGTCGATTTTTTTTATTTCTGCATGACTCTCATAGTTATATGTAGCTGTCATACTAAGCTTTAGCATCGACATGACATGTGAAGTATTGAAATCTTGTAATTATACATAGATTGAGACAAAAGTCCAATACGGCACCCCAGATACATGGCGTTGCATATTAGATAGAATATCTTTCGATCAGGATCGTTAGGGAAGACATGGTGTGATTATCTATTAAATAGTTTCCTTGTTGGAGGACAGAGCTAGTTAAGTCGACATCGGATATTTCGAACCCCACGAGAGATTCGAGGTCTCTTCCAAACCGATTTTATATTTCTAAGAAATATGGGATTATAGTCATTTCCTGCTGGTTTGGTTGTGTCTATGGACAAAGAGCAAATTATTATCATTATTATTACAATCATAACGGCCCGTCAACACATGCAAAGTCATTAGGGCCATCAAATGGTAAAACACACAGCGATCCAAAAGGAAATAACATTAAATAAATCAAAAAGTAAAAGACAAATGCTAAATATATTAAAAGGTTATATTATAACAAAAGATTAAAATGGTAAGTCATAGTCAAAACACTTAAGCCCAATCACTTTGGATGATATGCGAAGGACCTTCCGCATGTGATTCAGTGAGGTAGCTACCATCTAATACAAGAAGACCCTACCTCATCGTGACACTGGATGATCAATGGACGATGAAACAGCAAAGAACATTTTTATTGCAGACTTGGCGTAGACAGAATTCCATAATATTTAAATTTCAAATTGATATGACCAGATTACGTCATCGTCATGATACCTAAGTGTGACTCTGTCGCTCCCGACCAAACGATGTATATACCCTTGACTCTGTAAGTACCACGCTGTTAGCACTAACGTGCTTTACAAACATACACTGTATCACTTCACAGGTCCAATTTGTCTATACAGGACACGTTTTATTGATAATGGTTTTTTTGTACAAGTAAAGTCTTTCATCAATTCAGGTAGGTTATATCTATTTATATTTGCTCTGAAAGCACGCGGCAGATATTCTCAATTATACTCGATCCTATCAACATATTCTAGCCGAGCCGGTCGATTAAGTATTGAAAGTTATCACATACATACACAAGCCGAGCATTCCTTTGTACACTTGTTACGTTGAATCTTAAGCCGCCCTGCAAGATAAGAACCACTGCCCTTTAAACAGCAAGGCAACCTTACATTTAGTTTATCCCGATATGAATTAAGAACCACTGCCCTTTAAACAGCAAGGCAATCCTTACATTTAGTTTATCCCGATATGAATGCCACACATAATATCTGATGTTTATTCAAATATTGTTACTTGATATTACGTCAAAGCCCTGTTACGGGTAATTTTCCGAATTTGTTTTATAAAATAAAGATTGGACAATAGAAAATGTGTGATCGTCCTCATGGTAGCCCTTCTGGGTGAAAGCCTTCCTCTGTGGAAAAGTCCTTAGTAGGATAACCCCCTCTGTTCGATTGCCCTTTTCTGTGATATACATCCTGTGTTATATCCCTCTCATGACATAATTCCTGTGTTATATCCCTCTCATTTCTGTGTGATAGCCCTCTCACGACAGCATTTCTGTGTGATAGCCCTCTCATGACAGCATTTCTGTGTGATAGCCCTCTCATGACAGCATTTCTGTGTGATAGCCCTCTCATGACAGAATGTCTGCGTGATAGCCCTCTCATGACAGCATTTCTGTGTGATAGCCCTCTCATGACAGCATTTCTGTGTGATAGCCCTCTCATGACAGCATTTCTGTGTGATAGCCCTCTCATGACAGCATTTCTGTGTGATATCCCTCTCATGACAGCATTTCTGTGTTATATCCCTCTCATGACAGAATTTCTGTGTTATATCCCTCTCATGACAGCATTTCTGTGTGATAGCCCTCTCATGACAGCATTCCTGTGTTATATCCCTCTCATGACAGCATTTCTGTGTGATATCCCTCTCATGACAGCATTTCTGTGTGATATCCCTCTCATGACAGCATTTCTGTGTGATATCCCTCTCATGACAGCATTCCTGTGCGATAGCCCTCTTATGACAGCATTTCTGTGTGATAGCCCTTTCATGACAGCATTTCTGTGTGATAGCCCTCTCATGACAGCATTTCTGTGTGATAGCCCTCTCATGACAGCATTTCTGTGTAAAAGCCCTCTCATGACAGCATTTCTGTGTAAAAGCCCTCTCATGACAGAATGTCTGCGTGATAGCCCTCTCATGACAGCATTTCTGTGTGATAGCCCTCTCATGACAGCATTTCTGTGTTATAGCCCTCTCATGACAGCATTTCTGTGAAAGAACCCCTCTGTGTCACCGTCCTGTGTGATAACCTGTCTGTGTCATAGTCCTGTGTGACAACTCCCCTGTGTCACAGTCCTGTGTGATAACCCACTGTGTCACCGCCCTGTGTGATAACCTGTGTCATCGTCCTGTGTGATAACTCTCCTGTGTCACAGTCCTGTGTGATAACCCCACTGTGTCACCGTCCTGTGTGATAACCCACTGTGTCACCGTCCTGTGTGATAACCCACTGTGTCACCGTCCTGTGTGATAACCCACTGTGTCACCGTCCTGTGTGATAACCCCTCTGTGTCACCGTCCTGTGTGATAACCTGTCTGTGTCATAGTCCTGTGTGATAACTCTCCTGTGTCACAGTCCTGTGTGATAACCCCACTGTGTCACCGTCCTGTGTGATAACCCACTGTGTCACCGTCCTGTGTGATAACCCACTGTGTCACCGTCCTGTGTGATAACCCACTGTGTCACCGTCCTGTGTGATAACCCCTCTGTGTCACCGTCCTGTGTGATAACCTGTCTGTGTCATAGTCCTGTGTGATAACTCTCCTGTGTCACCGTCCTGTGTGATAACCCACTGTGTCACCGCCCTGTGTGATAACCTGTGTCATAGTCCTGTGTGATAACTCTCCTGTGTCACAGTCCTGTGTGATAACCCCACTGTGTCACCGTCCTATGTGATAACCCACTGTGTCACCGTCCTGTGTGATAACCCACTGTGTCACCGTCCTGTGTGATAAACCCACTGTGTCACCGCCCTGTGTGATAACATGTCTGTGTCACAGTCATGTGTGATAACCCCACTGTGTCACCGTCCTGTGTGATAACCCACTGTGTCACCGGCCTGTGTGATAACTCTCCTGTGTGATAACTCACAGTAGACCAGATATTTTCTGTATGAAAATCTTGTTTGATTTGACCCTTTACTGTTATATCGCTATTTTATGATAACCCTCTAATGTGATAACCCTCTAATATGGTAGCCCTCTGGTGTTATAGATTCTTGAATAATAGTCCTTTCATTAAATACCTCTTTCATATAATAGCCCCCTCATGTACTATATGTTTTGTGTAAAAACCTTAATACATGATGACTCTATTGTTCAATAACCCCCGTGTATAATAACTTTCTTGAGTGATAACCGTCATTTATCATAACCCACCTGTATGATAACCCCACCTGTATGATAACCCACCTGTATGAAAACCCACCTGATGTATCAATATTCTGTGTCGTTATGACTACACTTGTTGCTAACTGCGGTTGTTAACCAACCTGATGGATCAGCCTTCTGTGTCGTTATGACAACACTTGTTGTTAACTTCCGGTGTTTTCCTTTCGTTATACAATTATTTATAATACATGTACACGATAGAATCACAACCATACTACAGGACAGACTTCAGTGTGTTAATTTCTGCTACAGATTTAGTCAAAAATCTTAATTTATGTTGTGTAAAATAATGACGATGTCTTTGGTAGTAATATATAGCTCCTTATACTATTGAGTGTTAGTTGTTGGGTAGAGATGAACAGAAAATGGAATTCGTCGCCAGTTGTTCTGAAATACGTAAATATTCACGTTGTATATTGACCGCCTACAATAGGTAGCTTAGTAATACATGCGTTACAATTTGGTTTTAGTTTCGGAGGAAGTTCCGGTTTATACTTACAAAAATTCTGTAATTGATTCCTTTCGGTGAAGTTTAAATTTCATCTCTACAGATTGATTTGAATTTACGTTTAAGTTTATGAAAATGTGATACTCTGTAGTCGATCTGTTTTTGAAAATATACTTTTCACATATTTAAGTCAGCATTTGATAAAATATGAACAGTTTTTAATGTTTTACCTCAAAACTCAACCATTTATGAATAGTTTGCCAGATTCACCACTTTAATACTTTAATAAGTATTATTCACGTGCCTATCAGTTAGAGAACGGTATTGATAATGCAGTCACCCATGGTACACGATCTTTAATTTCGAGTTTCAAAATTCGAATGAAACTGGAATATTTGTTCGCACGTTTCTGAATAATGAAAAGCTACCTTCCGCTAATGACTTGAGAACTTCCCTGCTTAATCAGTGTAGTAAGTTTGTAGTTTAATTTTCGCTGTTTGCTCCAATAATATACACCACATAATTGATTGTAAATTAAGTAATTTTAAATAAAACTGAAAAAGGACGCTGTTGATGGTATTTGGAAATGTATTCATCCATATGTTGTTAGCTTGTTAACATTCCGTTTACAGCGAGCAAACCATTGATGGTTCTTAACATTCCTTTTGAAAGTGGCCCATTGATTGGCTATCCGCAGCGCCACAGGCGCGTTCGATTCGATCGCGTTGCTCACTTTTCCTAGCCCAAATACTGTTATCGGGAACGGTTTAAACAGCACAGTTATCGCTGAGCAGACTTGGTATTTTTTCATGTTTTAAAGGACATTGTGCTTCGTGAGGTCAGCAGAATGGCAAAATAGGATTTCGTCTTTAATCTTATAGGTTTATCGACTTATTCCTTGGAACCGCTGGTGAATTTGTTCTAATACACTAAAGTCTCTCTGTTATCTGATATGACTTGGCATATGAAAGATGTTTTCATCAAAGCACTTTAAATCTTTCGTTTGTTGACAGTTAATTGAACAGCTGAAAATGAACCATTCCATCCATCTATTTTTGTGATGGCGTTTCAGATATGTATTCAACTTTATCGAAAATCGACATTTTTGGATGTGTTGGCTGATATGTCTTACAAGTTTCCGGGACGTGGAGTACGCTGTATTGTTTCTCTGTCAACGCTATAATTGATAATTGATGTTTTGTATTCTGTGGATTATCGATGCATTATTAAATCTGCTCAGGTTTCATATAAACTGTTCATGAAAAGGGACAATAAAAATAATCACTGGGAAAAAACGTCCTGGTGCATGTTTGGAAATAATGATAATAAACGTGATGACATAATGCGTGGTACTAATTATCTGATTGCATTAATGAAATTCGATATTATAAAATTTCAAACTCACCATGACGTTATGGACTTGACATATTAGAGTACCGTGGCTTATCACCAATGTATTGAATGTCGCCAACTAATGGCCAATTACTGCTGGAAGGAAACTGACGCGTGCTGGAAATCGACTGTGATATGGTATCGGTAAGTTTATATTCGTGTGCCGATAATTGGAAAAGCAAGAGTGTGTAGTGAATGGATAATCTAGATGGGACAACCTTAATATTACTACACAGTGAGTAAACAATGTATGGAACGTTAAAATGGAAAATTCGCAAATTGTTGAATTTTCGGAATAGACAAAAGAGTTCAGTGATACAGAGAACAATCGGACTACATATGTTTAAAATACAGGACAATATTTTTCCCAAATACGAAACTACGGCGAAACTTTTTATATCTTCTGGTTGAATAAAACCATAGAAATTTACTTCAATTTTGTGATACTATCTGAAGCAAACATTGGAAAAATACACCGATAAATAAATCGGTTTCACATCTCAAGTGGAATTATACAACCTAACTAATATGGATGTCGCAGGATTACTTCCGCTTGGGGCACCGCCTATCAATAACGCATGCTTGCCAACACTATTCAACAAACTAGATGCAAACGTAAAGGAAAGGAACCGCGTCAGAAACTCATTTCTCGAGCATAAAATGCGCTTTCAACAGAAAATAATAGACAAGTATCATTTCCAGGCGATGCGACACTATATCAGAGAAAAGGAAAAGATTGGAAAAGACATGAGAAAGATAATACAGAGAACCCCAAATCTAGAGGACATACCTTATTTGGAGGCAAACAATCCGGTCGGAAATTTCCACAAGAAGGATTCTTATGGTTTACCATACAAAGGATATTGTACTGAGCCAAAAGAATTCAATTCAGTTCAAACGACAACAGAATCAAAACCGTTTTGTGTCCGATATTTTTGCCATCATTTCCCGAAGAAACCAAAATTTAAACGTAACCGGAAGTTGCCCCCGTTACAATCGGTTGATGATAACTTCCGGTATCCGGCTACAAACGGATTATTGTTATCTCAACGATTTAGTGCTAGTGATCATTTTCTGGCTTCTGGTAACACACGTCACAGCCAACTAAATTCTATATCGTCACTGGAATCACAGATACCAACCATTGAAGTAGAGGACGACGCCATGACCATATAGAAATCCCACATGGCGGATGTTGGGATTTAATTGACGCCGAGAAGAACCTTTCTATTTTGTGTGCAACTGATTCTAAAATTATAACTAATATGTTCTTAATGAGGTATTTTCCCGTAGTATAGGTTACACTTTTCCATTCATGTTTCGGAACGATGTAGAGAATTGTTAGTATGAAAACCATTTAACTTATTCAATCTTCTGTCATATATCTTGTTATACATGGTGCTGAGATGAGGAGTGTGTGTAATGACAAATACGATATTTTTTTCATAAGTCTAAATCATGCTATATCAGATAACATACAACTGTTTCCCTTTGAAATTTACAGTCACCATATATAAATGCAAATGAAATTGAGAATTTCACCAAGAAGCGCGTGCACGCTTAACAGGTATTTTTCATAGACTAATTTTAAATGAATCATTTAAGCATGCACAGCTTTAATCAACTTCAAAATCCGCTTGAAAACACGGTATATAGCTTCGCTTCAATCGATTTTATCGTTTTCATCAGTTGTATTATGGTTAAGGTAATCGATTTATTCAAATTTACAGAAAATGTAAAAATTATATGTGTATTTCTTCAGAAAATCCCTTCCTGCTTTTTGATACAAACCAATTTCATTCTGATTAACGTCATGTTATTCTCGTATATGAGGAGCTTTGAAGTACTCCTCACATAATTCATCGATCAACTTCGAATTATCTCATTCGATTTAAGCTTTTCATTAAATAGTTCTGGACTTAGAGAAAGCTAGTATTTTACATGGTTGTAAGCTTCACATTATACTACCGATGATTTTTGTCCTAGTCAGATAATTTGTAGGAAGTGGACAGTTCCATCACATGGTCAGATTGTTCATCTATGTAAATCACCACCTCAACAATACATCCATTTATATATATATAACGTATATTTAGAGACTATTATGTGACCACGTTGATAATATACCGCTTATCAGTCCGCGTGTCCTGGCCCCACTTATATAAAACATCTCAACTTGAGATTTCCTCAAGTCGAGATTTTCCTCAGCTGATATCTCCTCAAAAACGGCTTGTATAACCTTTTCTCAAGGAACAGGAGGAAGGCATCGGCGAGGATGTCCTGAAATTCCTTGAGGAATTTTCATACAAGATATTTTCAAGGAGATATTAGCTGAGGAAAATCTGGGCTTGAGGAAATCTCAAGTTGAGATGTTTTATACAAGTGGGGCCTGATATCTACCAGAGGACCAGAGGCCCGAGTGCTGATATCAGTCAGAGGACCAGAGGTCCGAGTGTTGATATCGGTCAGAGGACCAGAGGCCCGAGTGCTGATATCGGTCAGAGGACCAGAGGTCCGAGTGCTGATATCGGTCAGAGGACCAGAGGCCCGAGTGCTGATATCGGTCAGAGGACCAGAGGTCCGAGTGCTGATATCGGTCAGAGGACCAGAGGCCCGAGTGCTGATATCAGTCAGAGGACCAGAGGCCCGAGTTCTGATATCAGTCAGAAGACCAGAGGCCCGAGTGCTGATATCAGTCAGAGGACCAGAGGCCCGAGTTCTGATATCAGTCAGAAGACCAGAGGCCCGAGTGCTGATACCAGTCAGAGGACCAGAGGCCCGAGTGTTGATATCAGTCAGAGGACCAGAGTCCCGAGTGCTGATATCAGTCAGAGAACCAGATGCCCGAGTGCTGATACCAGTCAGAGGACAAGAGGCCCGACTGCTGATATCTACCAGAGGACCAGAGGCCCGAGTGTTGATATCAGTCAGAGGACCAGAGGCCCGAGTGCTGATATCGGTCAGAGGACCAGAGGCCCGAGTGCTGATATCAGTCAGAGGACCAGAGACTCGAGTGCTGATATCAGTCATAGGACCAGAGGCCCGAGTGCTGATATCGGTCAGAGGACCAGAGGCCCGAGTGCTGATATCAGTCAGATTACCAGAGGCCCGAGTGCTGATATCGGTCATAGGACCAGAGGCCCCAGTGCTGATATCGGTCAGAGGACCAGAGGCCCGAGTGCTGATATCAGTCAGATTACCAGAGGCCCGAGTGCTGATATCGGTCATAGGACCAGAGGCCCGAGTGCTGATATCGGTCAGAGGACCAGAGGCCCGAGTGCTGATATCAGTCAGATTACCAGAGGCCCGAGTGCTGATATCGGTCAGAGGACCAGAGGCCCGAGTGTTGATATCAGTCAGAGGACCAGAGGCCCGAGTGCTGATATCAGTCAGAGGACTAGAGACCCGAGTGTTGATATCAGTCAGAAGACCAGAGGCCCGAGTGCTGATATCAGTCAGAGGACCAGAGGCCCGAGTGTTGATATCAGTCAGAGGACCAGAGGCCCGAGTGTTGATATCAGTCAGAGGACCAGAGGCCCGAGTGCTGATATCAGTCAGAGGACTAGAGACCCGAGTGCTGATATCAGTCATAGGACCAGAGGTCCGAGTGCTGATACCAGTCAGAGGACCAGAGGCCCGAGTGCTGATATCAGTCAGAGGACCAGAGGCCCGAGTGCTGATATCAGTCAGAGGACTAGAGACCCGAGTGCTGATGTCAGTCATAGGACCAGAGGTCCGAGTGCTGATACCAGTCAGAGGACCAGAGGCCCGAGTGCTGATATCTACCAGAGGACCAGAGGCCCGAGTGCTGATATCAGTCTGAGGACCAGAGGCCCGAGTGCTGATACCAGTCAGAGGACCAGAGGCCCGAGTGCTGATATCAGGACTCTAGGGCATATAAGAGGTGTGATATCAAATTTGTTATATAATCGTCTTTTTAACTTGTATTTTTTTTCTCTCAAATAAACAAACCACAAAATTCATCCAACAAGACACCACTAGTCCTAATCGCCATGCTTCAACTGTTCACGTTCGCAGACGATAGCTCCAGGGGTATCACTAATAAAGGAAACCAATCCGGAAATTTGAGAGTGAAGTTAAATTATATTTTTTTCGTAAGAAGAAAGGGCATTTCGTCCAGGTCAACAATATATATGTTAAAACCAGACAGCGATAAGCCAATCAATTTCTCATGTGATTTAGGGATTTATGAAACTTCTACCGAAATTTATCATTTTTTTGGGCACTATATTGAAAAAAAATCATACAAATGAATGACCATGTCAGTTCAATGAAATATTTTGCAACAAATTTAGCACGCCGGTTACCTTATATTGGTGCTAGTTTGTCATTGGAATTAAGATATCTCCTGGTTTTAGAATAATGTAATATTTGTGTTATTAAAGGTAGCTTGTATTGAGTGTAGAATTTGTGACGTTGCAGGTTATTATCAATTAGTTTCGTTCGAATATGAACCTTTTAAATAAGTATAATTATTATTCCACACTAATATTTATTATTTTTTTGTATAGAATGTGGAGCTCTTTTATGATTTACAATGTCTCAGAAGTCATTTATGTTTTTTTTCGTTTGTATATTTTAGATAACGGATGTAAATGTATAATAACTTGTGACACTTAAATAAAATGATTGATTGGTTGATTTATTGATCAGTCAGTCAGACTCGTGCCGTTTTGGAACGCTATTTCAACTAACTAGACAGGATGTGATGTGACTATGGTGATTCTGTATAACGAAGGAAAACCTGTAATTTACAAAAGAGTGAGAGTGTGGGGGAGGAGGGAGAGAGAGAGGGGGGAGGGGGCGGGAGAGAGAGAGAGAGAGAGAGAGAGAGAGAGAGAGAGAGAGAGAGAGAGAGAGAGAGAGAGAGAGAGAGAGAGAGAGAGAGAGAGAGAGAGAGGGGGGGAGAGAGAGTGTGTGTGTGGGTGTGAGAGTAGGTGTGGGTGTGGGTGTGGGTGAGGGTGTGTGGGTGTGTGTGTGAGTGTGTCACATCCAGTCATTTTTTGGCATAGTGAGTTTGATATTTTAATTTATTTATATAATTACTGTCACCTTTTTTAATATTGGCTGATTGACATTACCGTGACGATACTGGAGTCGTCCGGCTTACTACCGTAGAACAGTACTGTTATTCAAGCTGTTTGTATTAATGAATTAATCATTCTATACAATATGCCACTGTTTCAAGCTTGTTAACTACCTACTTTTACCACATATTCATTTAGAAATGTTTTTAATCTATAAACATCATTTTGTATACCTCTTTTATTGGTCAAACTCTAATAAAAACATTTATATTTCGACTCGAAACTCCCCTAAAATCACAAAGGAATCAATAAAACAGGTTTCTTACCAAGATGTCTTTATTAAAGCTTTCATGTCTTCTTCAAATCTCTTTTATGTTATTCATTTTCTCGTCGTTTGACATATTTCATGTGTCGGCGGAGAGACGTTTTTTTAGTGTTATTCTCTAGTTAACCGACAAATCACGTGACACGATAATAATACTGAATAAAAATATTGAATGACCAATCCCAGTTTTCCAACACAATCAGTAATAATCTAAAACGCTATTTTGAATCTTCAACTATTCTAAAGTTTATCACGTGATATCAAAGAAGGTGAGGAGAGTTTAAAAAACTTATTGCACCAAGGTTCACTTTACACCGCCATGGCCGGTAAGCGATACTGTCGAAACCCATTGTCGATACCATGAACAGAGAAAACATGGGCAGTGTCTTAGCGGATGAAGAAAGACAATAGTGGCGAGCCTCTAGCAAGCCACTTTCGTCATTCTCTCCCGAGCCAAAATATTGTTTCTATGTTAAGACACTGGCCATATATTCTATTTATTCTGAAACATTTATTGAAAATCAGATTATTGAAACAAAAAAGTTTTGTTGTTCGATCTGTGTTTACCTGGTGTTGACGTTACGCTGAATTTTGTCTGATGACGGACGCCGTGATTTTACATATTTTCATAGATCAACATGTTCATAACAACATGTAAATTCGCTTATTTCAACAACTATTAATATTTCTAAACGTAATATTTAAGTAAATATAGAGAGTTATTCTGTCGAATAACCGCACGTGCTAAAACACAACTGTTTTCCGTCACTGTAGAATACAGCAAAAATATGTATAGAAGGTGTATTCCGAAAGCGACAGTGCCAGTTGCAGGAGAAAACGGTTTACTCCTGTGTAAAGGAGTCTAGGTAAACAAAAAATGTTTTGAAATTAAGCACCAGAAAGAATTCTCTCTCTGAATCACATGACAGTGATTATGTTGATGATACTATATTTTCAATTATTGTCTAAGTATACCGTGCCTTCATCCCTTGTTTATTTTCTATGAAAGTATAAACACTCATATTATGCCACGTCATCATTTCATGTACCTTACGTAAGCATTAATAGTGTAACATCGGATTATGTCATCACATTAATTTCTCTTTATAAAATCTGTTATGATATGTTTTTGTAGTTAACTATGCAATGTTATCAATAGCTTATGGAACGGAAATTTGCGATTTTTTTTAGAATATTCCTAAATCTTTTGCCTGTTTTTTCTTTGCTTTATCATGACATACCATTTAACAGTTTGATAGACGGTACTATTGCTGTTAAAGAAGTTATTTATATATAGAAATATCATCACATTAAAAAGCTGGATAGTTTAAAAGAATTCAAATTCTGTGTGTAGATCTTTTCACGTTTATGATATACTGTCAAATACTTTGTTTTCGTGGGTCTCATTTTTCGTGGTTTAAAAAAGAAATTACTTCTTGCGTGAAGTTTTGATTTCCTGGGTAATTACAACTCAATAAATCTGTTAAATGTTAAATTTCATTGTTCGTGGAGATATAAAGTCGTGGGTTACGAGTGATAAGGAATTCAGCGAATATAAATTCCCCTCGAAAATTAATAATTTAACAGTAATTTACGACCTGTCGAAAATCAAAATCATTGAGAGCACAACAGAAAACCACTGAGAACAAGCAACCTAAAAGTAAATAAATCAACAAGGGTTCAAAGGTTAGAGCACCATAGGGTATCGGAATTTTCAATAAAATATAGAAACAACCCGTAACTTATGCAAGAATTAAAAGACATCTAGATCGACAGGGACAGGTGTGTGAACCTAACATCAGTCTTATGTCACAAAAATGGTCAAATTCGCTTACAACTTACGAAATACATGTGTAATATACAGTAGGTGTACGGTATCCGCTTGAAAAATGAAAAAAACAGAACTAACGACGTTATTAAAGACAAGAAGGCGACAAAACTTGTATTAATACCGCTAATAAAGAGGGAGATAACCGAAGCAAACAAAGGTCACCAAGTGTGCACTTAGGACAAGGTCCAAATTCTCATAATCATTACAACATTCGTATGTTAAAACAACGAAGAACATCACAGGAAACTAGTATGAGGGATAGGTCAACAAGGACATAAAGTATGAAAAATCACAGGGCACGAAGGTCAACAACGTTAACGTTAATTATATAGACAAGGACAGTGTGATCAGTACCATACTTAATGTAGAATCATGGTGTAACAATTGATCGACGCAATACCGAGCGAGAGTTTGTAACATCGAATATGGCCACACGCTTTCACGCAATTTCTCAACGTAACCATGTTTTGAGATGTAAGGTGTCGTATTGTGATGTGTGAATTTGTGTACCGAGAGCGATAAATATGTCGGTGTTTGTGTGTGCATACTAGCCTTCGCGTGTACGACTAACAAAACCCGTATATTTTTGCGCACACGAAGAGTAATAAAACCACAAACAGCCTCAGGGCTTTACTGGTCCAAAAGGTGTTTGCCCCAATACACTAACATTACTACGGTATAAACTGCTGGACTGGTCACTTCTATTCACTTGCTGGCTGGAGTATCACTGGTCAAACACCGGAGAAACTTGCCCAGCTAGTCGTACAAACTTTGGTCTACAGGTCGGATGCAAAATGAAGTCGATCATGGTGAACATGACGCTTGGTTTGGTACTGCTTGTAACCTTGATTTATCTATGTGAGGCACAAAGTCATCGATTCAGTTCCTTTTCGTCATCACGAAGATCTCCAAGCAGCCGGGTGAGTTGTCCTTTTTAAATACAGGGAAATCCGTATTTCATTTAAATAGTGGCACAGTTCAAAATACATCAGTGTACCAACGTTGTTCTGATATCTGATATATGATAATTACGGTATTTATTTCATTATAGACCTTGTGCTCCTTCTCGTCTAGATTTTGAATTTTCGTTCAATCACTTTGAATTTTCTTTATTCGCCTCCTTGGCTTCAAAATTTAGGCCCTTTTAACATCACTGACGAGTCCTAGAAGGACGAAACAGTGGTATAATGTAATATCACTGACGAGTCCTAGAAGGACGAAACAGTTGTATGATGTAACATCACTGACGAGTCCTAGAAGGACGAAACAGATGTATGATGTAGCATCACTGACGAGTCCTAGAAGGACGAAACATCTGTAAGATGTAGTCTAATTCATTGTTTGGCTCTATTGTATCCAACTTTAAATTTGTCTTAAAAGGTGTCATCTACTTGTGAGCCTTGTGTACAATCTTACACCTTTTATATCCGATTCAGTTAAAGTATTTCGTTTTAATGCCAGTAGTCTATAGAAGATTAGCTTCGATTACTTAATATAACATAATAACTCTAGCCTTCGTTTCATCGAAATTTAAGTTGATGATTTTGTTGACAAATCAGCATTTTTGTTTGTTTGTATTTACTTCCGAAATTTTGAATTAATTAACAACACGACTTACAGCCACCAATTAACAACACAAAAATATCGCCATGAATTCAAAATCGATAAAACTGGTGCGAAAAATGAACAAAATTAAGATTTGTAGGATAACTCCTGAAGAAATAGCATGAATATAAGGCAATGTGTTTTGGAAGGGAAAGCGTGTTCTGTTTGATCACCCAACATGTAAAATCTTGGTAATTTCCGGCGGGAAATATCGCGTGTTCAAGTGAGACAAAGATTTGTGGATTTGACAATGTATACGGTCGGTTTGCCTATAATATTATTTTTCATTGTTTTGATTTCAACTTTTAATTTTAAGTATATAGAGAACAATGTTCCCTTAAGAAAACTCGTTTTAAGATGAACTTCCATATAAAATTCCATGCCCGTTCTAAGAGTGAAGTTTACTTTAAAAAGTGAATTTTAGCAGTTTTACATGCATTATTGACCCACTGTTGGTGTATCACATCGAGACGTATCCTTCCCTATGTGTGTACTATTTTTTCTAGCGATTGTTTAAGTGTTTTCATTATAAAGCATTATGGCATCCTTACATGTTAATAAACATTTCGAAAGTGCATGACATTTACCGTAAACACTTTTTTTTTAAATTGAACTATGGTTACAAAATATAACAAATGTACAAGATTGAATTTTTTTAGAGAAGTTTGAAATAAAAGAAAGTAGAAAAAGATAATAACGATTAAATTCCTTAGCTCAAGACAAATAAAACGGCAAGATGAATCCGTTTGTAAATACGTGGACGACATCCGTCTATAGTTAATAAACTGTTGTTATGAGAATAAATAAATGACATCAATTTATCAATATTATAAGAATATCTATTTGTTACTTACCTGATTTTCAATTTTATGATATAAAACTATTAACAATATGTTGTTATAAATTATAGATATTAGAATCATAAGTTTATACTTGATAGTAAAAGTCAGACAAGAGAACAATATCTGTGTCGCGGGTTTGAACCACGGTGTATCAGAACCTTGGTAAATTAAGTTGCTAATTGTTACAACGTTGTATAAAATATGGAAGCTTGACCAATTACAACATTTCACGTTTTACCGAACAAAAAAGTGACTTTCTATCATCGCCTGTATTAGATAAGTTTCTATACGTTTAACTAAAATTTTAATTAATTGTGTAAGAAATTCTTATATATTTTATTATAATTAGCATGGATTTATCATAATTTCTCATAGTTTTTAACTGTAATTATTATAAATCTATAAAACTTCTTATCGTTTTTACTACAACTATTATAAATTTATCAGATTTTTATGATAGATTTTGCTATAATAATCATCAATTTATCAGAATTTCTTATCGTTTTTACTATAATTTTCATCAAATATGTCAGATTTTTTATAGATTTTTACAGTAATCATCATCAATTGATAAAAGTTCTTATCGTTTTTACTGTTAAAATCATCGATTTTGACAGAAATGTTTTATAGTTTTTACTATAATTACGGTAAATTGTGTCAGAATTTCCCATAGTTTGTACTATAATTACGGTAAATTGTGTCAGAATTTCCCATAGTTTTTACTATAATAACGGTAAATTGTGTCAGAATTTCCCATAGTTTTTACTATAATTACGGTAAATTGTGTCAGAATTTCCCATAGTTTTTACTATAATTACGGTAAATTGTGTCAGAATTTCCCATAGTTTTTACTATAATTACGGTAAAAGAATTTCCCATAGTTTTTACTATAATTACGGTAAATTGTGTCAGAATTTCCCATAGTTTTTACTATAATTACGGTAAATTGTGTCAGAATTTCCCATAGTTTTTACTATAATTACGGTAAATTGTGTCAGAATTTCCCATAGTTTTTACTATAATTACCGTAAAATGTATGTAAAATATTGTAGATGTTACTATAATTTTCAACAAAAGTTCTTATAATGTTTACTACCGTCATCATTATTTCTATTAAGAAATACCTTATTTCTTGCTATAATCATAACCCTTTCTTTGCGATAAGTTTACATACTGTAATCATCACCATTAATATAATATATTTTACTATTGTTTTAAGTGAAAATAATCACCATTTGTTTAAGATAAGTTACAGCAGTTTTTGTTATAATCCTAATTATATTGAAAAAAAGTTGCCATGGTTTCGATCTCATTATCATCATTTTAGGAATTCTGATATCACATCAATATTATATCTCATTATTTTAACTTCATTGATTAAAATAAATTACTTCTTCCAAACTCAATTATATTTGCAGTCAGAAACATACTAGTACGTATTGTAATATAAATATCTCAATATATGTAAGTTATAACTATAAACATAATTCCTATTTATTTACTTTTCAGTTATAATTATCGCAAAACAATTGAAAAATATACGAATTTAAGTTTTATGTTGCAAGTTTCTGAAAAAATCACATCAGTTAAGTGTATATACTACTACATGTATGTTGTCAATATATTCAAAAGTAAGTTTTCCAAGGTTCTCCGTGTAAATATTTATTTGTTTATAATATAAAGTTAAAATACTGAGCTATGCTATAAATGTGATGATCCTTTTAAGCCTCTGTACAGTTGATATAAATTACTAGTTTTACTATTCTCTTTTTTGTAAGTTAAATTGCTTCAGGTTTACTATCCCCGTTTATGTCCGAGAAGTTGACCCTGTTTCTCTATCCTCGTTTGTATCAGATAAGTTACCTTAATTTCACGATCCCCGTTTGTGTCAGATAAGTTACCCCAGTTTCACTATCCCCGTTTTTGTCAGATAAGTACCCCTGGTTTGACTATCCCCGTTTGTATCAGATAAGTTACCCCAGCTTCACTATCCCCGTTTTGTCAGATAAGTTGTCCCAGTTTCACTATCCCCGTTTGTGTCAGATAAGTTACCCCAGTTTCACTATCCCCGTTTGTGTCAGACAAGTTACCCCAGTTTCACTATCCCCGTTTGTGTCAGATAAGCTACCCCAGTTTCAATATCCCCGTTTTTGTCAGATAAATTACCTCAGTTTCACTATCCCCGTTTTTGTCAGATAAGTTACCCCAGTTTCACTATCCCCGTTTGTGTCAGATAAGTTACCCCAGTTTCACTATCCCCGTTTGTGTCAGATAAATTACCCCAGTTTCACTATCCCCGTTTGTGTCTGATAAGTAGCCTTAATTTCACGATCCCCGTTTGTGTCAGATAAATTACCTCAGTTTCACTATCCCCGTTTGTGTCAGATAAGTTACCCCAGTTTCACTATCCCCGTTTGTATCAGATAAATTACCTCAGTTTCACTATCCCCGTTTGTGTCAGATAAGTTACCCCAGTTGCACTATCCCCGTGTGTGTCAGATAAATTACCTCAGTTTCACTATCCCCGTTTTGTCAGATAAATTACTCCAGTTTCACTATCCCCGTTTTTGTCAGATAAATTACCTCAGTTTTATTATCCCCGTTGGTGTCAGACAAGCTGCTTCAGTTTGACTATCCTTGTTAAATTGCCAGTTTTTACAAAAAAATTGTTTCATGTTTTTTAAGTAACTTTGGTTTTGCTATAATAATCAATATCAATATTAGGTATAAATAATTGTTGTTTACTCCGTTCATTATGATGATATCAGGTTATCAGGGCATCATTATCAGGGTAAGGTATTTTCCCGCCTCACTAGCGCAATATGTGTAAACCGTTCCTCTATATTCTTATTGTAATATATATGATCACATTTTTACTGTTTGATTTAAATGCTTTTATCATTCTCCGACTTTGCATAAACCCCCCCCCAAAAAAAAATATGATATAATTTATAGATATTAATTATAAGACCACCTGAGATAGATCTCAATACTGTCCTTATGATAGACAGGTGCCGATTAGGAGCGAGATAATATAATTACGTTTACAGTTCATCACTCCGTCGCCATCCTGACGTTGTATATATGAACGCTGTTTGGTTTAATTATACACCAACTCACTACCTTACTACCTAAACTGTCGCTGGAGGCCATACAAACGGCCCTAGTTACGCCGTTTATTACCAATACAATGGTCAAGAGGTCAGAACATGTCCAAGCGATGCGTAACGACACAGAAGGACACAACACGGCCTGTATGATAACTAAACATCGCTCTGCGTCTAATTATTCTTGTTACATGGTCTATAAAGCACAAGACGTTTACTCTTTTGACACACCTGTGCATGTAATTATGAAACCTTCTTATGCTTAAAAAACATTTTTCAAAATTACTTTTTGGCGATAAAATGAATTGATTCTTTTCTCAATGATTTCAGGGATTTTCAGAAAGACTTCTAATGAGTTATGGTTTT